TTTTCTCCTCCTTTGCTTTTTGGACAGTCTGCTTTTACATAAACTGGATAGAGAAAGAACAGAGGTACTTCATCAGCAAAGCCAATCAAGCTGCAGATTATTCAATTGTACAGTATTGATTCTACTTTTCCCGTTAAATTTTGCGTTCTATTTATAGTGACAATCATCTTTCTATCCTTTCTCAAAATTCAGAGCAGCCGCCCCAGATGAGCTTACAGCTTGGACCAGAGACAGCCAAGGGACTCCTTCCATCACAAAACACATCTTAATACCACATCCAGTTTCACCACTATATTGAAGGAAACTAAACAAAGTCATCTTAATGGCTTATTAATATAACCATCCATCACATAGAGAATGAGAAAGCTTCTAAATGATTTGGCCAGGAGCTCAACCAAAGTTGGAGATAGGCAACATTCTCACTGTCATTTTTGATCAGAACTTGTCATTTTTTAAAAAATGTATTAAAAAAACCTCGTGAATGCTGTTTATCAAAATATGACAACAGGATAGAAGATGCATCACAAGCAATTATATATACCTCTTTCAAATTTACCCCAACTCCCTAGAAAAATAAAAGGAATATTCTGAATTAAACATGTCAGCCATCTGAACATGTTTAATGTTCATCAACATATGCATCAATAATCTTTTAGTTACTTCCAGCTCCCTGATTAACTCCTTTAATTTCAGCACTTTCCTCTCAACATTGTTCCCCATTTAATTCAAAAGGCTACATTGCTAATTAACAAAATCAAAAACATTTGGGAGTGGGAAGTTACAGATCATCTGGTCTAACTCCCTACATAATGCAGGACATCGATAAAGATTTTCCTAACAGTGAGAACAATCAACGAGTGGAACAGCGGTCCCTTCAGAAGTTGTGGGTGCTCCATCATTGGAGGCTTTGAAGAGGAGACTGAATAGCCATTTGTCTGAAATGGTATAGGGTCTCCTGCTAGAGCAGTAGGTTGGACCAGAAGACCTGCAAGGTCCCTTCCAACTCTAATGATGTTCTATGTTCTAAAGCACTCCAATGGATGGTTCTCAGGCATTCTCTACGTGATTATATTCCTGCTCTTTCTGTTGAAAAGTGTCACATCTCTTTAGATCTAAGTTGGTCTTCTGGACAATAGAGAACAGGCCTTTTGGTCATGTGCATGGGGTACACTTCAATGTCACTTCTTGGTCGTCTCTTTCTCAGGGTTCAGAAGCCCAGTTCTTTCAACTTTTCCTTATAGGATATGTCTTCTGAAGTCCACATCTCACTGGTTTTTTGGAACTGTTTCAGTTTGTCTACTTGTTTTAAAAAAATGTCTGCTGTAAGCCCTCTTTTCCCTAGGTGTTCCTGGAGCAAAGGAGGGAACCAAAATAGTACATAAAATCATCTGCTACAATGTCCTACCAGCCAATGAATACTTCAGCTTCAACCAAAACAATACAAGAGGCACACAATAGATAACAAACATATGGTAAACCAATCCAAACTAGACTGCAGAAAATACGACTTCAGTAACAGAGTTGTCAACGCCTGGAATGCACTACCTGGCTCTGTGGTTTCTTCCCCAAATCCCCAAAACTTTAACCTTAGACGGTCTACTGTAGACCTCACCCCATTTCTAAGAGGTCTGTAAGGGGTGTGCATAAGCGTACCAGCATGCCTACTATCCCTGTCCTAATGTTTTCTTTTATTCGTATCCTTTTCATGTATTCATAATTATGTTTACACTTGTATCTGTCATAAAATATATGCTTGATGAAAATAAATTAATAAAAATAAAATCAAAATCAAAGAACTTGTTCCAGTGGTTTGGTTTCAAAAATTTTTACTACCGGTTCTGTGGGCATGGCTTGGTGGGCGTGGCATGGCATGGCTTGGTGGGCGTGGCAGAAGGATACTGTAAAAACTCCATTCCCACCCCACTCCAGGGGAAGGATACTGTAAAATCTCCATTCCGTCCCCAATCCAGGGGAAGGATACTGCAAAATCCCCATTTCCTCCCGATCAGCTGGAACTTGGGAGGCAGAGAATAGATGGGGGTGGGGCCAATTTTTACCACCGGTTCTCCGAACTACACAAAATTTCCACTACCGGTTCTCCAGAACTGGTCAGAACCTACTGAAATCCACCTCTTCCTTGTTCTTTTTTTCCCTTGGGGTTTGTCTCCTTTAGAGATCGTGACAGAGAGAGCCCACCTCCCTCTACATCTCATAACACTTTCTGAGGTAAGCTCAGCTGAGAGATCATGATTGCCTACCTTCAGAAATAAAGTTATCTGGAGACACAAAAAGGTTCAAATTCCTTCACATTACCTCCATTGAGCCACTTGTCAGACCCTTCTCTTTATGACTCACAGAGGAAAAGCCCAACTCTGATGTCTGGCCACTATCACCGCTACATGAGAAAAATGCTGAGACTCTCTTCTCTTCCCCCCACCCCCCACCCCCAAAGTAAGCAATGCTGGCTTGTGAAGATCTCAGAGTAGCCTTTGTTGTCATGGAAACTGCTCACTCACCACTCCATGAAGCAGCCAGTGCAACTCTTGTCCTGCCCCTCCCGCCTTAAAGGCCACAGGGGCCAAAACCAGAGCCCGACCACAGAGTCAGGGCGACTCTCCTAGCAGCATCAGAGCCATTTGCCCAGAGCAAAGGTTGCAAGGAAGGCAGGCTTTTTTTTTGTTTTTGTTAGCGGGAGTTGGGAAAGATTTGAAAACAGGAGTCCCTTTTAATAGTGGGGAGATGTGAAATATTATCTATACTCACAATCATCTACACCCCTTGCCATATTTTTTCAATGCTTTTTGTACAGACATCGGTAGCTAAGGTGTTTGCCCATTTTTCTGTTCTTGACCCCATGCTGCAAGGCCAAGCTTGCATACTCATTCTGAATTTGGTCGATGTCGGAAGAGACAACCTGACAAGAACATCAGCTGAACAACTGAGAGGTAATGCTTACAAAAGTGAGCAATAGACAAAAAAACAAATGATAAGACAAAAAAAATATGGCTTCCCTGGTTAGGATAGAAACCTCTGTATTTGTTTGTTCGGCTCAAATTTTGCATCTCTTGCAGGGATACTGTTTAAAATGTAGTTGTTGGATGCCTTGCTGTGTGATTAATATCTTTGGCTAAATGTGCAATTTCCCTATTAAGCCATCCAATCTATCAAAGAAGGATTGTTATGAATGAGCTTCTGTTCAACCCATTCACTCCAGGGACAAGGTTCTTCTGAAAGGGTTGAGGTTAATTTACCCAGATGCTGTTCTCAAGTAGTCTTACAGAAGGTGCCTAAGATTGGGGAAGTCTCCCCTGCCTCTGAAAGATACAGCATTGTCTTATTTCAGCTCCTGCCTGTCAAGGTTCACATGTTACTTTGCAAATCTGTGTAACATTTGCATGCATTTTCAACTGTGTATCAATCACAGGAGCCACACAAACTACAGTGCATAGACATGTTTGCTCTAAATCTAATAACAATCAAAAAGGCAGGAAAGGCAAAGAACCCAAACCAAGTGAGGAACGATTAAATTCACCAGCAACTGACAGCAGGAAGAGGGGAAGAGAAGTAATGATAAAATCCAGCATAAAATTGAGCAAGACCAAGTGGTTGTGGGCTTTGAGGTTCACTGGTTTTAAGGAATCTCCATCTTTGTTCTGGATGTGGTCACACACAGACACACCCCAGCAGATTTTCATGGCTCTTGCAGGTAGCAGCCAACAGGTCCTCTACACAAATCCATCTTGTATGCAAACTATGCCTATTCCTGAATCAGGAGGCCCTGCTCATGGTTGCCGATGCCTTGGTCACCTCCCATTTTAACCAATGCAACACACTCTACACAGGGTCGCCTTGAAGACCACTTGGAAGCTGCAATTGGTTGAAAATGCAGTTGTGCAGATAGTTATGAGTGCATTGTGGGCTCAAGATGGATAGATTCAGTTACAGGAATGATGAGTGCATGTTGGAAGATCTGGTTAGGGGCAGATCATCGTGGAGAAAACCTGTGTGATTAAGAATCAACCATAGCTTGATGCAGATCACCAAGTTATTTGCAGCACTACAAACTGCACTGGCTTTCTATAGGCTACCTGGTGTAATTCAAAACATGAGTCATCAAGCTGGAAGACCTCCATGCAGTTGTTTGCAGGACTGCCTGTCTACAGTGTGTCTGCTTATCCTATGCGACTGAATGTAATGGGCATGTTTCGGATGCTTTCTACAAGACAATGTCACGTATGGAACCTAAGTAGGATGCCCTTTTTATCACAAAGCCTGCCTTGTGGAACAGCATCCTATCTGAGAGTCTGATGGCCTCTCATAAGGACATGAAAACTTGATAAGGTCGTATTAAAGTTTGACTGATTAAATGAACAATCCTACTTTTCTGCAGGCATTTTCTAAAGTGTTGGATGATCCTGTCTAGAAAAGAGGAATTGAATGTGAATGCTGTAATTGGTCTCAATCTTCTGTATTGAATGTTGGTGTGTTTGGTTCCTTTGTGTTTGTTTTTAGCCATATGTAAACTTCCCAGAATTGTTATGGCAAGTTGGAAGGCCAAATAAATAAAACGGCACCAGGGGCAGAACAAACCTATCAGAAGACTGGTCTCTTTAGCTTGGTTGGAAATAATTTTCTGAATTCTCACACCTGTGTTCTATTGTATGGCACACACCAAAGCACAATGTGACCTCTTGGATTTTGGCTGTGTCATACAAATCTGCTATTGTAATTTATGAATCATGGGTTATAGTTTAACACAATGTATGATTCCAGCCAATTGTGATTTAGTCAGAATTAAACAAATAACAGCTGAGCAAGATGAGCAAACCCAATCTATTTGACAGTAGTATACATAACATCTGTCCCAGAAATACTTATTATAATTCAACAGCAAAATCTAGGAAAGAAAGCATGATTCATCTGCATAAAAATACACATATCTACAACCTACAGGTAACAACTCTATACCTTCCTAAAGAAACTACTTTTTCAGCAAGTACCTGAAATATTCCCATTGCTTCTTTTGCTTTGCCTCTGTGTCCTGCCCCATGGAAAATCCAAGTGATGTCGGTCTCTGCAGAATCAAAATTAAAGTTCACCCAACCAGTCTTTATCCAATACTTTTTTGGGTGGGAGGGGAGATAATGCTTTGAAACCTCTAGCACTGCTTGTTTTCTTCTTCACATATCATTCATAAGCCCAGGTCAACAAAACATAGTATTAAGTTCCCATAACATGAAGTAACAAACCTATAATCCAAATTATACCTAGTTCACACAGCATAGTAAATAATTGACTTCCCATTATAAATTGGATTATCAGCTATCCAACTTCATTTTAGCTTAATCTAGTATATGATCCCAAATCTTCATGAGTTTTTATAGACTGCATTAAAGACATGTACTTTGCTTGGTTTGGGGCCAAGCAGGCTCTGTAAAAACTAATACACAAAGGCAACAATTTAGCTTAATTAAGATAAACCAATATTTGTACTGATCCAGCCCAGAAGTCTGATCCTGTCTGTAGAGAAACTCCTTAGTGCTGTTTCTCCACAAATTCTCTCATCTGTATCAAATCAGTTTTGGCTTATCTGTATTTTATTGCACCACATAATTTATTACCGTTCACTATCTACATATTAGCAATGCTATCAGCTGGGTCTTTCTACAAAACAATTTTACTCCACAAGAAAAAACAGGTGAAAGAACCACATATTTGTCCAGAGGGGTTTCTTTTTCTTAGGATTTTTTTCCAAACAGACAAATAAAAGGCAGAACCTCTTGGGAGAAGCCAATCATCATCCTTCTTAAGAAAAATAAAATGTTTAGCAATACCTCAGAAGATCAAGCCTATTCTCCCAAGTTCATATCTAGTTGTTTCTTCTCTTACTTGTTTCCTTTTCAAAAATAATGGGGATGACGAGAAATTTATACACGGACAGGATGTTTCATCCTCTCCAGTGCTATAACCACAATGCTGGCCCTTTATTAGGAATGATGCTCCTTCCCAAAATTGCTAATATTCGTGTTCTGTCCGTCAAATGTCAACATACATCCACAGCCTGAAGAGGAGATTACAAAAAAGGACATTGCTTGGGAAACCCACAATTTCCTCACAAACAGCTGCTCTGCTTCGACGGTTTTTTATGCAGTGTAGTTCTCTCTCTTTTAACTAAAAATGAATATATTTTCAGAGGTTCACACCTGATTTTCAACAATTAAGCCAGGTAGCTTCATACCACAGGTTAAGTTCCCTGATTCAATTAAAGCTACTTAGCTTAATCCATTTTGTTGCTTGCTGTTAATAACAGCCTTGGAGACAGCATGCCGGGCTCAGTAACACTACGCTGTTCAAACCCGGCCTTTGTGTCACTTGCTTCCAAAAGGGTTTCATTCTCACTGGTGTTTCAGCAGCAAAGGGCTTTCCCATTATTAACTGGGTTCACAGATTGGACCAACACAATAACACATGATGGGCTTTAACCATGATGGTGTTAACCATAGAGGCTAGCATTTCACGTTGGATTGGGTTTGCCCAATAAGGTAATTTATATTGTTCAACTATCTTAGCTCCATCCATGGATCAAACTAGTTAATATGGTTGTGCATGCCCAGAGAATGGCTGAGTTCACATAACAAACTATACTAAGCTTAAATAGATGTGGATAGTTTGTCATGTTATGGGACTCAAGTCATTGGGCATATAACCCAAGCCATCACATCAAGCAATGATATGATTGATGGGCATAACATATGAACAGACCAGTTGTTTACCCAGAAATACCGAGCCAAACTAACCATAGCTTCATATAGGTTAGCTTACTTTAAACAAAGTTTCCATATCGTGTGAGTTTGTGCTAATGCCTAAATTGCAATTAAGCAGCCTATGTCACTAGTAAAGTAAGATGGGGTTCAGGATTGATTGATTGTAGTGCTGTTCCTACAATGGTATCTATGTTTTTCATGCTTCTATTTCAGCTCTTACTCCTACTGAAGTGCAGCAAGAGCTTTATTCTGAAAACAGACTGGGGAAAAAACTAATGTTTTCCTACCTCTTTCATGTGATTTTGAGACCTTGGGTAACTGTGGGCTTTAAAAATATAATCATGCAGGAGGAGAAGCAGCAGCAATATGCACCAAGTTATAGAGATGTCTACAAAAATGGAGGGAGACTAACAAAACATGTCCAGCCAAAATTTTGTTAGGTCACATTTATTTATTTAGAACATTTATATAGCCACCCAACTCAAACAGTGAGAGTCTGGGCAGCATACTAAATCATTAAACAAAACAAATACCAGTAAAGGAAATTTAAAAAAAATAAATGACTATCTGATCTAAAATATATCTCACCGATCAGGAACACTGCTAAATCTGACACAGAGGATATGTGCTAGATGCCTTAAATACAGCTAACATTAAGTCATACTTTACAGCTCATAGAAACATGACTGTTGTGCCAAGGATCCAAGTTTATAAACTGGAAAGCTGGTTCACATACATCAGGCAAAACAATAAAAGCAGATTATCTATGATAAGGCAATGTGTGATAAGCTGAATTTAAAGTATTTTGATTAGCAGAAGTACAATATTCAGCTCTGAATTCTCCCATGCTGGAAGAAAAAAAATAAAATAAATACCTATCTTCCTCCAACTTGATGAGGGGAAATGAGTATCTCCTGCTAATTAAGTCCAGAATTTATTCCTAAGTAGCAGTTGGAGTAGAGGCCTCAGAAATTCAGCTGCAGTTTCCTGAAAGTGAAGAATATTTTAGAATATACTTTAAAGCAGGGGTGTCAAACTCACGGCCTGCGGAACGCATGCATCACACGCCGGCCACACCCATGCCCAGTTTAGCGAAGGGTAGAAAAGTCACGATACGTCATGTGATGACACGAATTTGACACCCCTCCTTTAGAGCACTATAATTTCCAGGGTGCTTGAGAAAGCCACACCTCTAACACCTGACTCTTGCAAACATTCTGGAACAGATTCCCACGTGCTATTATGAACATGAGGGGGAAAGTACCACAGCATTCTAAATTGCCAGCCACAGTGATTCATTTTTTTCAGTTGCAGCTATGTATACATAAAACACTAAAGAGTAAGAGTCCTTCTAACTAGAATTTGACCCCAGATAACTTCAGGGACATATTCATGAGTTTTCAAGGCAACCATATGGAAGTCATTGTCACTGTTTTAATTTTTATTTTCTAGCCCAAGTATTTCCTGGTGCATCGTAAAATCAAATCATTGCCCATCCAAACGATATACCCAGCACTCTGTCTGGCACCTCTTCAGCAATCAATATTAGTGGCAGCCAGCTATGGAAAAAGGAAGAGGTCACCTCCGTCCATACGAAGTGAAAAAAGAATCAAACCCTTGCCTCCGATTGGAACCGTCCCAATGGTAGATGACAGACATCCTTCAAGACCAGGCAGATTCTGCCTTCCTGTATTCTCCTAGAAAAATTTAAAGCTCAAGTTGTTTTTCCTGTTCTGCGCGGTCAAAAAAAACAACCCATTATATAAAGACTCTCCCAAACTTTTCTGAAGTCCTCAGCAAGAAACTAAGAAAATCCATCAGAAATTTTGCAATCTCTTGGAGTTCATCTCCTTAGCATTTTCTGAACAAAACCGGGAGATGCGCCTGTTTCACTTTGGAACAGATGTTAAGACAGCTTTATGACCCTGTCCAGAAAAGGGAATAAGTATCTTTAAAGCAGCATTTTTTTAAAGGAATGATTCATGAAATAACAGTAGAAAAGCTACCTTGGCTCTTTCCCTTTGTTGTTTTACAGATCAAACAGCCAGCTTTAGCAATAGCACTTAGATTTATATGTCGCTTCACAGTGCTTTACAGCAGTGGTGAAATTCATTTTTTTTTACTACAGGTTCTGTGGGCGTCGCTTGGTGGGCTTGGTGGGCGTGGCTTGATGGGCGTGGCAGGGGAAGGATACTGCAAAATCTCCATTTACACCACACTCCAGGGGTAGGACACTGCAAATCTCCATTCCCACCCCACTCCTGGGGGAAGGATATTGCAAAATCTCCATTCCCACCCCACTCTGGGACCAGCCAGAGGTGGTATTTGCCAGTTCTCTGAACTACTCAAAATTTCCACTACTGATTCTCCAGAACCTGTCAGAACCTGCTGGATTTCACCCCTGCTTTACAGCCCTCTCTAAGCAGTTTACAGAGTCAGCATATTGCCTCCAACATATGGCCCCCAACAGTCTGGGTCCTCATTTTACCTACTTCGGAAGGATGGAAAATTGAGTCAACCTCGAGCCGGTAAGAATTTTTGCCTCTAACAAGTAACATATTAGGAATTTTTGCTACAACACTAAAGGCATAAGGGAGTTTGTTTAATTGTTCCTTATTGCCAGCACCTTGATGATCTGTCACACATGCACACCCTTCTACAGCATTGTCACTTGTTGGAGGGAAGTGTCTTTCGTTTTCACTCCTACAGCAATGTCCTAAAAGAAAAGCAATAATCAGGGATGGAGACAGACTAATTAAGAGAGAAAGAAATGCCAGTTTTCTTATAATAAGGTCCCCACACCGTTAATGCCAAATCCGAGCACTTTTCTCATATTCACATGCCTCCTGCTTTAAATGTAAGCCCAGTGCTCTCATTCAGCTCCATGCTACAGAATTCTTTATATATTGGAGCAATTTATTTGCTGCCTCGGTTTTCCAGTTTCACAGAAGTACTGGGGGCTACAGCTGAGATGCAATCTTCCCAAGGCCATAGAGACTGTTAAAATCTCCGAACTAGAGAGACTGAAACATCCAAACTATTACAGGTAATCCTCTACTTACGACTACAATTGCGCCCAACATTTATTACTAAGTAAGAAAGTTGTTAAGTGAGTATTGCCCCATTTTATGAACTTTCTTGGCACAGTTGTTGAGTGAATCATTGCCATTATTAATTTAGTAACAGGGTTAAATGAATCTGGCTTCTTCTCCCCATTGACTCTGCTAGTCAGAAAGTCAGAAAAGATGACCCAGGATATTGCAAGCGTTGTAAGATGAATCAGTTGCCAAGCATCTGAATTTTGATCACACAGGGGTGCTGCATTGGTCATAAGGGTGAAAAACAGTCATCAGTCACTTTTTCCAGTGCTGTTGTAACATCAGCCATTAAATGAACAGTTGTAAGTTGAGGACTTTCTGTATTTCGGAGCTTTAGCTTGCAAAAATCTCTCTTGCAGGTCAGCTCAGTTTAATTACTACAAATGGACAATCAATTAGTAAACAGAAACTTGCATGCCTTCGGAATGAAATGCCCACCAGGATAGAGAAATGAACCCAGCGTGTCACAGAGCAGAGAAACAGATGGAAGTCAGCTTAGTTAATTTAAGAAATAACTCTTGCCAAGGTTTGCCCAAAGCATTCAAGGGTCAGGTGGCACTTTCTGAAAAGAAAACCAAAAGAGCTTTCAGCTATTGTGGATTCCTGTTTTGGAAAACACCTATATTCTGGCACACTGTTTTTGGCTTGCAGAATAGGTACCTTAACTTCTCATGTGGCATTTAAAGAATAGCAAACCCAGAAATGGCACTACTTTTAAAAATTCTAATGCTTAGGAAATGGGAGAAAATAATGAAACACTATAGTTATAAAGGCAACCCCATTCACTTTTGCATCAGGCGATGAAGGCCAGTCAGTTTGGGCTCCATTCTATATTCATCTGAACATTTCCAAAAAGTTCAAAAGGAACCAAAGCAGAGCCACAAAATAGATCGAATGTTGTCGAAGATACCTGGAGAGAAATGAGCTTGTTACAGAATCAGAGTTGTCATGGCAAAGCTGGGCATCATGCAATGAAACCCCAGTTGGCAAGGCAGAAAGACCTGATTCTCTGTCCATCTCTGTCCATCCTGAACACACCTCCTGGTAAACAGCATCCAGTATATTCTTCCCGAAAGGGCAATTGGCCTCGCTAACATTTGCGTCTCTACATAAAACAATTGTGCTGAAGTGCCTGGGAAACACCAGCATATACATTCATAAGATGCCTGAGCAAAGGGGGAAAAAAATCAACAAATTTCTGGGGGGGGGGTGGGTGGGAAACCTCACACTCTCTTTTGCAACCCATGTTTATATGGAGGGGTGGAGGTTTCCTTTTGCTTTGCTTTCCCCGTAATCTGAAACTGAACACACATACCCTGGAGAACAAAGTGCTTATTTTTGCCATTTAAACTTGAAGCCAAAAACTAGCAAAAGCAGATGGAGGGTTAATAGAGACACATGTCATACAAGTGTTACAAAACTGGAAACTTGGCCGTAGAAGAATTATTAAATATTGTTGGGGACTGCCCTACTAGTTCTGGCAAAATAATTGTTTCTTTTCTTTCTTTCCTGCTAATTGTCAGATTGCTCACAATTCTTCTCTCAACTGCCCGCAATAGAGAATTTCTTTCTGTCCCAGCTAAAAAAAACACCCAGGTCTCAAGGATGAGACTTGACAGCACTATGAATTCACAGTGGTGCTATTTTCTCTCTGGAAAGCTGTGATAAAGGGACAGCGGGGGTTTGCCAGTTCCCTCGGCAAAGTTAAAATATGCATTCTGTGCTGCTTAACCCATCTATTAATAAATTCGAGTGTCAGAAAACGCTATTAACCTTCGTCCACTTTCCCTCCAAAGGAAGCCCAACCTGAGCAAGAATTGCACCCGGGAAAGTCATAGGGGAGTAAAATCCAGGTTACCCGTCATGGATTTCCTTAACCCTGCAGGACGAAGTGCCAGGACAATGGCTAGGAAAGCAGCGGGCTTTTACCGAGACCCCAAGAAATTTAAAAGAGCTTTCACTGTTGTTTGTATTTGAAGCGGGTGGCGCAGTCTGCTGAACAGACCGATGGACCGATAACACAGGAGTGTAAGCAACAGAGAGGAACGGCGCCTTCCTGCCACAACAGCAGGAAAAAAGCACTCCATGCATGTTCAGAGGCCGAGGACAAGAGCCGCAATGGGATCCGATCGAGACGGAACACGACCACAAGGCTGCCAGTATTCAAAGGAGGGCGCGCCGCTTTCATAGCCAAGGCGCCCTGCCCCAGTTTTTGGCGCGGCGGGTGAAGACTCCCCTAAGGCCGCCTAACTCTGGCGGGGAAAGGCTCCCTTCCCGCGTGCCGCTCCTGATCCAGAGCGCTCTGCACATGCTCACGAAGCCTCTCGCCCCCCTCTCGCCAGCCAGCCACCCGCCCGCCCTCCCTTTCGGCCATGCCTCGGCTACCGAGCTGCGGCTCGGCGAGGCGGACGACGGGGCACGTGCGAGGGAAACCAGAAGCCGCGCCGCAGAAGCTGGCTCACCTGGGCGCGGCGGCGTTGGCGGCGGCGGGTCGGTCGCCATCGCCTCTCAATGCCGTCGAGCGCAGCGCCTCCCCGTTAAGCTTCTCCTTGCCGCTTGCGCGCCGTCTCCAGCGGAGAAGCTGCGTCTCGATCCCCGGCCTGACGGAGGCTCCCGTCCAAGCGCTGGAAGAGCTGCCGCTGCTGCTGCTCGCACCGCCGCCCCCCTTCCTTTAAAGGCACCACAGCCAATTCGCGGGGAGGGTGTGTGTGTGGGGGGGGGAGAGAGAGAGGTCTCTTTAAGCGGCTGGGGAGGGGCTGCCGTGCCGACCCACCCCAAGCCGAGGCCCCAAACTGACGGCACCCTCCCGGTGGCGCAGGGCTGCTGCAGCGGCTGCAGGTTTCGCCGCCGCGCAACCAGCTAGAAACATTTGAGTTGGAGAAGCTGCACCACCACCAACACCCCCGTCACGCCCCTGTGGGAAAGCACCGGAAAGGGGGATCGCAGCGGCTCTCCCCGCTCTGCCCCACCACGCGTCGTTGGGACCAAACTCGATGGGTCGGAGGGAGGGAGGAATCTTCCGTGTCCAGAGCAAAGAGAAGGTCCCGAGCGTGTACAGAGCTCATTCTCAAAGGGGCTGTCTGAATTCGCACCACGGACTTAAATTAAGGACATTTAGCGATGGCTGTACTCACTCGATAGGCTAAGCTTGGCTGGAATGGGTGTGGGAAGTGTTGTGATCAGGTTATTAAGACAATTAGTGGTATATTGTGCAAATCCAGGAAATGGGCAGATTCGGTAACCATGTTGTGTGAATGAACTCAATGCATTTATCTTTCCCTCTCCAGAATTATGGCAATAGCCTTGCGGTAGGAAGTCCCAAGAGAACCTGGGTTGTTGAAAATGAAAGATCTTCGACTTAGCATCACAATTGAGCCCAAGGTTTCTGTTGCTAAGCAAGACATTTGTTAAGTGCATTTCTGCATATTTACGACCTTTCTTGTTAAGTGAGTCACTGCAGTTGTTAAATTACGGTAGTAGCGGGGTTGGTAAGCGAATCTGGCTTTCCCACATAGACTGTTTGTCAGAAGGTCATCAAAGGTGATCTACTGGAACACTGCAACCATCATAAATATGACTCACTTGCCAGGCATCTGAATCTGATCATGTGGCCATGGGGATGCTGCAGCAGTCGTTAAGTGGTCATGTTGCTTTTTTCAATGCTGTTGTAATTTCAGATGGTCACTAAACAAACTGTTGTAAGTCAAGGACTACCTGTATGTTGATGGGGATATCCCAAGCTCATAAGGATCAGTGCTTTAGCCTTTCTTTCAAGCAGGAGTGAAATCCAGCAGGTTCTGACAGGTTCTGAAGAACCGGTAGTGGAAGTTTTGAGTAGTTTGGAGAATGGGCAAATACCACCTCTGGCTGGTCCCAGAGCGGGGTGGGAATGGAGATTTTGCAGTATCCTTCCCCTGCCATGCCCACCATGCCATGCCCACCAAGCCACAACCACAGAACCGGTAATAAAAAAATTGAATTTCACCATGGCTTTCAAGGGACAAACTAGTGTCCCTGTCTTTCTGCCCTCCATAAAATAACATGGGCTGCACCTGTTACTTCTCTGAATTCAGTGATGGAGTCAGCCTTTCCTATGAGGGGAGGAGGGGAGGTCCAGCTACAATGGCACAACTTTCAAAAGGCCCCCACAACACATGGTCCTTGGCTGAAAAATCTGGGACTTGTGCCCACAAGGCTGGAGGACAACTGATAGGGAAGGATGCACAGTGCAGGATTTGGGGTGGAGAGAGGAAAACTTACATTTTCTTGTACTCTGCCTATCAGGTGGGCAGACAATTAGACCCAGATTTAAGAAAGAAATACATAAAGCTGATGATCCCATCCATTATCCTTATAGTAGCTCCTCTGTTCTCACCACCAGTGGGTCCCCAAAGTCTTAGGCAGATAGGTTTCCATCATTCAGTAATAAATTCTGTTTCAGTGTGAAGTGCTAGGATTGAATTCACAGTGTTCCATTTGCTGAAATTACATTCCATCAGATTTTTATGATGGTCGTAGACCAGCATAAAGAGAATGTGATACAAACAATTTTTAAAAAGCTAAAAGATATAAAAACAAAAGGTACACAAGATTAAAAAGCCTTCAAAGTACATTTTGAAAAGCTAAAATATATGAAAAACAAAATAATATCTACTAAAAATAAAACATTAAATATAGGAGAACATAAAAGTTAACATATGACTAACTAACTCTATCACAATACAAAACACCCTTGACCAACAAATTAAATGCTCATTAAGGCTGGTCTGAGGCACAGGTCATCATCATCTGGTGGATTTTAAGCACTGCTGCACAGAACCTAGCAACGTTATATGTTATAACAGAATTAGTTTCTGCAAGCAGCAGGGAGGTATATAAATGTCCTGTGTGCCCTGAATATTTATATAGTAATGGTGAGACGAGGTTAGTATGAATATCTCTGTAATACAGGCACTAAAGAAGTACATGCTCTGTTGTTTCTGTATGTCCAGGTCATGGACATTGTTTTTCCGAGTAACAAATTTTCTCTTATAGGCCTTTGTGGGCAGCTTCATTCCAACTTCAAAGTCACTGGAAATTGATTAAGTATGTCATGGAAAAAACATGCAATAAAGGATGGAGACCCGGCTAGGTCCAAACCAAAAGATCCAGCAGCCCCAAAAGAAAAAAAAAAGAGTCATCTACAACATACAGTGTAAGGACTATAACAGCCAGTATGTAGGACAAACAGGCACAAGATCAGCAGAGTGCATTCATGAACACTAACTAGCGGTCAGAAGACATGACGAAAACTCCTTAATTTCATAACACATGGATAGACTTAACCATAGTTTCAATGGTGAAACTGTCAGCATCCTAGATCAAGCCAAGTCCAAAAATGCTAGAGAATTCCTGGAAGCCTGGCACTTTGACAAATCAACCATCAACAGGCACATATAGATAAACAACATATCATTCAAAGGAGACAATCAACAAGCCAAAAAGGAAACAGAAAGACCAAAACACCTCACCAGCAACCAACACACAGATGAGCAAAGATTAGCACCAAGATTAACACTAGACTAACAATCAAGAAGTAAACAATACCCCAATGGAGGAACTACCAATACAGACAAACAAGTTAACAGTAAAGAATAGCCTAATCAAGGGATCACCAAGATTACACCCAACACTGACAGGGGAAACCACTAGTACAGAGGTGTCAAACTGGCACGCCCACCACAGCTCCACAAAGGCAGAAAACATCGCAATATATCACGTGCTGTCACGTGACATGATCAAGTTTGACACCCGTGCACTAGTATATAAAAATAAGAGCAAACTCCACTCCCTCCTAGCACTGATGATGTTACCTAGCTTGATAATGAAACTTCTGCAAGAAACCTGCCCAGCTCAGAGAGCACCAAGGAACCCACATTCTGTTTTCAAAGCTAAAATAGAATATGGAAGTTTGCCATTTACAACTACTGTTGAAACGGGAGGCAACATCACAACAGATACACAAGCCCTGAGATGCATTTTGCCCAGCCATAAAATGGCTCCCGTTCTAACATTTTCCCTGCCATGTTTCATATTTTCATGCCCATTCTCCTTCAATAATCCCCATCCTCCCAGAACCAAACTTTACCATAGTGCTTTGTGGACTTCTTTGAGTGGAATTAACTTTGATTAAGTTTTAATCATTTTAAAAACTCTGACTGTGCATGTCCTGGAGAAATTGATTCCTATTATACCTTTCCAACCTGTTTCCACTCCACTGATACTAGATCAAAAGCCCTTACTCAGGCAAAATGCTCTTTAAACGTGGCACAAGTTTCCTTCGTGGCACCAATCCACATTTTCACAGCACCAGCAGTTCATAGAATAATTTATTGGCTTTCCCACAATTGCTATGATTTAACTGGCACCCATTGATTATTCAAAGCCTAATCATTTTTATCGCCATAAAGAAATAATCAATTCTGAAAGCCCTGACCTTCACTGCTACATTTTACGTAGCTTTCTAAAGAAAAAGAAAAGCATGCACAGGAAATATTTAGTAATTTATGCCATTGAAACTGTCAACAGCAATGGCTGCCCTCTACAAGTAGTCCTCGACTTAAAACACTTCACTTAGTGTCCAAAGTTACAACGGCACTGGAAAAAGTCACTTATGACCATTTTTCACACTTACAACCTTTGCAGCATCCCCATGCTCACGTGACTTACAGATGCTTGGCAACTGATTCATACTTACGACAGTTGCAGTCTCCTAGAGACATGTGATCCCATTTTGCGAGCCTCTGACAAGCAAAGTCAATGGGGAAGCCAGATTCACTTAACAACAGAGTTACTAACTTATCAACTGCAGTGATTGACTAGGAGGAGGAGGAGGAGGAGGAGAAGAAGAAAGAAGAAGAAGAAGAAGAAGAAGACAAGGAAAGTCGTAAAATGGGGCAAAACTCAACTAAACAAATTTCTCACTTAGCAACATAAATTCTGGGCTCAGCTGTGGTCATAAGTTGAGGACTACCTATACAACATTTAGAACCCAACTCAGATGGGAGGAGGCAAGATGTCCTTGGAAAAACGGGTTGAATCCTAAGGCCTGAAAATGATCTCTGGAAGTCCAATCACCACTACCATTCCTTGCTCCACACAGGATTTACCATGATGATAAGGCAGTCTTCTCCCTAAAAAAAGGATACATGGACATTTCTTAAAGGAAAGGATATCACCACATCCTGATTCATTCTGACTCATTCTGAAAGAGTTCCCAATGTTAGAAAGTTTCTCCTAGCAGTATAGGCACAATCTTCTTTATAATTTCCCTTATAATCATTATAATGAATCTAATCTAATCTAATCTGTCACGCCACTGAAGATTCTCTATTTTCTGTGTGACCTGCCTTTGAATATTTTCAAATTATTTATTGTGTTTCTTCTTAATCTTCAGGCTGAATCTATCCCGTACTCCAGTTACAGGGAGATATCAAAATGGGTCAGAATGTAAAACAGCTGAAAGCAAGATCCAGAAACAGTGAGTTGCTAAATGCCCATCACAAGATAGTGAAACCTGGAATTAATAGATCCTCATTTAGAATTCAGATGCAATGCAATGGACAAAATTTTTATTCAGACATCTCTCCTGAATAACAAACATATTCGCTGCAGCCAATGTAGCTCAGATGACACAATTTAAAAAAATACAAAAACCTTTGTTAATTGAGTTTATTTGCAGCTCTTTCTGTAATGGCATAATTATGCAAATGACAGAAATTACATCGGTTGAGTCAATTTACATATGTGTAATGCCATTAGGCAGTGATGCAAACTGTGTCATTTATGTATGATGCAAATCAA